TCCAACTAGTTTTAAATAATGATGATTTTTAGAATTTATATTTAATGTACTATCACTGTACAATATTTATACACTATTACTAAAATGTTTTTTCATAAATATATAAAGAGAAAAATTTTTAAAATGTCCAAAGCTTATAATTTTTTAATTTTTTTAATAATAAGAATATAATAAAGTTGAACAACATGATTATTACATTCTTTACATTAGTGCCATCACTTTGGAATGTGAATTTTCATTGTTAAAGATTGATTAAGTAAAATGATGTTTGGTTAAAATACCCACCAAGTCCCTATACTCATGCATTTTGTTCAATTTAATCTTTGTATTCAAAATCAAAATTATTTAATCTCTTGACTTTGGGAATAATTCTAATTTAATCTTTTTTCCTAACGATATCTAATTTGACTGTTCAAAAATGATAACATCAGCGTTGAACACAATACTAATATAGCAAGTAAAGGTGACTTGAATTGCTAATGTAGTATTATCATGTCAACATGTCAAGGTGACGTGATAATGTCACATCATTATCTAGAGTTGTTAACATTCTCATTTTTTCCTTTCTTCTGTCTTTCTACCTCCCGCTTTATTTCTCTTTGTAAAGGAAAGAATGAGAAGAAGCAATGCCACATTAGTAACTCGAACACAGTTGGTGACGTCATGCTAAGAAAGAAGAGAAAGTAGGTCACTTTCTCACTCCATTTCTGTTGGAATCAAGAAATAGTGAGGTAGCAAAAAAATTTCAGATCTCCAACGAGATCTGGGTCAAGGTCGATCACTGTAATTATGCTTTTGATGTTTGATTTCATTTTAGCTTATTTCTCAAATATGTATTTTACCTTATTTAATTGAGGTGTTGTTTTTATAAATTTGTATATTCTTAATAACTTATTGGTGTTTATTGTTTTGATTGGTTGTTCTCATGTTGTTTTGTTGATTTTAATACTGATAAGTGTTTTGATTATATTTGTTTCTTTTATTGAAGATGGACGCTGATGTAGCTATCAAGGTAGATGGTGTATGGCTTAAAAACAAGGCAATTACACTAGGTTCAAATTTCTTAATTTTTTTAAATTTTCTTATAAATATTTATTTCATTTTTTTGTTCATATTAAATGCAATTGCGCAAGGCTGATTGATGAGAAAGAAGAAATGGGATGCTTTGGTCCTTTGTTTGGAAAAAAGAAAGAAGAAAAACCTATTTTTGTGCCTTTTTAAAAGTTTCTATTAAGATTCTCTCTTTTTTGAGAAAAACCCATTTAATTTTTCGGCTCTTGAACTCTAAATCAAAGTTTGTTCCTTGATCTACTTTTGCATATTGTTCAAAAACATACATTGTAAAGGTAAACTCTTTTTGTTTTGTATTTTTGGATAAAGTTTTGAAAGTTTGAGTGTTTAGTATTGGATGAATACTTCTATATTATTTTGTATGTTGAGCTGAAATTTTATGTTATGGCCTTTTAATTTTTACAGACTCTTCACCAAATACTTATCATCAATGGTGGACTTGGGTTTAGGCTGTTGTGGAACACTGTAAAGACATTTCTAGATCCCAAAAGATTTCCAAGATTCATGTATTTTAATAATTTTCTTCAATATTTTAAGAAGATTGCACTTTCTTTATTTGGCTTTTGACTTCTCGTAGCATTTGATGTTGCTTGAGGTTAATGATGCCACATAAATGGGCTTAGCACATGTGAGAATTGAACGGGGAACTATTAGGTTATTAAGATTTGAGTCGTTTTAAATTTGGATCACTTCATATTAATGTCAATAAAATTCTTCTTACTTATAACAAAGAAGATTAAATTCTTTATAACCCAATAAGGAGTAAAAAAGTTACCACTACCACGCACAAAAAAAAAAAATCAGTGGGATCATATGATGATTCAAATTATATAAACACTTATATTTTTATATACATTGTATTAGTAAAGAAACCTTTGCATTTAATCTAAAAGGTTTTCTAAGTATTCAAAATTATTTAGTATATTAGCCAAGAATTTCGATAAAATATTTATTACAATTAGATATTATTCCATATAATCATCCCCATAATATAGTCACAGAATCAAAATATCATTTTTATTCTTTCTTTTCTTCCTCTTTTTTTTTTTTTGATAAACATATTGTTTAGGATCTTACTCTCAAATTGTAGGTAATGTATCACCATTTATCATTGCTGTTGATTCATATTGATGCACTTTTTTTCTTGATTCTCTTACAGAGGGTGGCTAATTTTGTAATTCATCATGTTTATATAACAGGTGATCATAATTTTCTACTAGAGTTGACTTACTAAGTTTTGAACTTTCTGCCTTTAGTTCATTTTTTGGTGAGTTTTTTTATTTGCAATATCTTTTATTTCCACAGGGAGCAGATTGTTACACAAGGGTTCAAAAACTACAGGGATGGGATTGCTTCTGAGGTTTTCAGTCCAAAACTTGATTGTGTTGGTAACGTTGTGGTTAAAATGAAGTATAAAAGTTGGATTTGTGCCATTTTATTATTTATTAATATTGAAAGAAATTTGTTTTAGGATATTTTGTCGTGTGATTAAGCTATTTTTAGAATCACAAATCTATGGTTTAATCATTTTGTGTCTTTTAATTTAAATTATGAGATGTCTAAAAGCGCAACTGCAAATGATTCGGCGATATGTTAATTAGACTATGTTCACATTTATGCTTAATGCAATAAACATTGGTGAAATGTATAACTTTTCATGGCACCTCAAAGTTCCCATGTCCATGAAGCACTCTTCTTAAGGAAAAGGCTGCTAGACACCCCAAAATAATGGAAATCTTCTAAAATGGATTCAGTTGGCATTTGGATGCGTACCCAAAACCACCCCATATTAGTACCCAATCCACATGATATAATAGTTTTATACAAATCCATGTAATATTTATTGTTATCTTGATTATTTTCTGCATTTTGTAGTTATTATTAAATATTTTATGAATTTTATTCTTTTCTTGATTTATAAAGGAAGTCTGCTTCTTTGAAAGGATTATCATTGGCTTCTTCCTTGTGGCCATCCCCTGGTACATTGGATTGTTTGTTCTACTTTGCGCAAGAATAGACTATCGAGAGAAACCAGGATATATTGCTTGCACAATTACTGTAAGCATCATTTCTATTAGTTTTTTTTTTTCAATTGTCTGAAAGCCATACCGCATTGTACTCATTGTCAACTTTGACATTATATACGTTAATGCTTTACCTTTTATGTAAATATATTTTGTACGAGTAGTTGTATCTTTTAGGCTTTTGTTAATCATTCAAAGTTCATACTTACGTTTTCTATTTTTGTCAGGTTAATTTAAGTTTTGATTTATCATCTAAAGAATTTGAGAAATAGAAGTGAAAGATCAGAAAATTTAGTTTATAAGTTAGAAGTACTGAACAGATGAAAAAGGAATCCATATAGTTAGAATTGGTAATGAGGTTACTCATTGATGTATAGTAAGAAAATTTTTTTATATTTTATAATAAATAGTATTTGTAAATATATCGAATATTAATTAGTAAGATTATTACCTTTTTTCTTCGGACAACATCTTACTCCTTCATGAACGTAAAAAAATTTTTGTACATATTATGATAATTTCTGTGTATTTATTGACCAATTGCATATATGTCAAATATTAATCAATAGGATGAGATCAATAAATGCTTTCATAATTCTTATCACCAATTCACATTTATAACATTAAATGTTTATAAAATTTTTCAAACTCGTTGTGCGTAACGCGGATACTCCTCTAATTAAATTTGAATACACATATTTAAAAATTAATATTTTAAAAATCACAAATAAAAATAAAATATTACACATACAAATTAATTTAAATAAATACTTCGAAGTTAAGAAAAAGAAAGTCAAGTCTCGGATCTTGAACTATATGTTTCTCACAAATGTGTTAAATCATAGTACAATACCAGTAAGGCAATAAAGCGTCAAGACCGAATTGTTGATGTATTAACATCACTTGACGTGTTGGCCAAAAGGGTGAGTCAGCTTTGTCTGTGCAAGTCCTTTGTGTTTATCATGTTGTAGTTTCTTGGTAGTTTCCTGTTTGTTCCGACTGACAGAAAAGTAAAGCATTGGTCAGTCTCCTCAAGTCCGTTATTGCTGAAGTCTTCTTTCAATTCCAAAGCAAGAGAACGCATGATCCTACCTATTTATGCCCCTTTTGTGTTTTTTTTTCTCCTCTTCTTATCGTTTAGGGATGCCATTCCCTTCCTTTAATTATTAATTAATTATTCAATGCTATTTTAATGGACTTTCTTGCAGAACAAGTTTAATTATAAAGAAGACGCGGCAACGTTAACCGTGTCAAGCAAACTACGTCTTCATTTCAAATCCATGACGCGACATGGCTTACGCCATTTCTCCACGTAGGATCCACGATTCTTTGTCAAGTAAAATTACAAAACAGGGGCTATAAAAGTACCAACATTAATATATTTATTAAAAAGGCCGAAAATTTAAAATACTAGGAAGGAAATCAAAAGTCCAACTTTACCCTTTGCTTGAATTTTCACAAAATTTCAACTTTCCAAAAAGACACGAAGAGAGGGGAGAATCCAAGGACTCAGGTCGTCTACAGCAACCTACCACTAGTAGCGATCGAAACTAGGCTCGATTCGACCTATCGAGATCGAATCTATGCATGGCTAAAATTATCAGCTTGTTGGAGATTGTCCATAATAGAGTCGATGTCTGCCGATTAACATGTATAGTAAAAAATATTATTTATTTTAATAATAATTTTTTTTATTTTTATAATATTTTCATATATTTATTATTTATAAGATAAAATTAAGGATACAAGGGTACTTTTATCTCCTTACCAAGTTTATTTGCTTTTAATAAAAATAATATTATTTTGGTTGACTTCTATTTCACTCAACAGTTGTTCCACGAGCATTTTTATTCCCAAATGAATGTTCCAGAAGCATTTTCATTCGGCCTATAAATTAGCTGCGAGTCGCTTGGCTCCTACTTCACTCAACAGTTGTTTCTAATCTGAAGAAATTTTGTAGCCAATCAACCATGACAGAGGCTGACAGCAATTCTGTTGAGACGATCAACGGTGATTGTCACGATTTTCACTCGCTTCTTTCTTCTTCAAACAGGGATTTCCTCGTACGCAACAACGGTGATCCGGTAAGTAGCTGCCGTAGAAAAACCCTATCTTGTCCGAATCTTTTCCTCTTCTGTTTTTTTTTTATTAAATCAATGTTTTATTAAAAAGGGTATTTCTTTCTTCCATTTAGAGGAAAATAGTTGGGGAATTTTGTTGCTCAAGTTTTAGTCTTTTCGAAGGGAAAAGCTGGAAAATTTACTAGATTTTGAGACTGAATTTTGGTTTCTTTCTTGAAATAAGTATGTACTTAAGACAATCGACTAGGACGTCTTCTGAACAGGGTTGGGAGCTTTGGGTTTGGCTGCCTATCTCAAATGGAATTGAGAGTTAATAGAAGGTGAAAATGATTTAGCCATCCATTATAGTTTTCAATAATAGTAATAAAGAAAAAACCCGTCCCTAAACATTTATTTTAATCTGTTATTTCAACGACTGGGCCTCATGGATGATACTACTAGTATGATCTGCAGTTTTGTTTGTAGTTTAAGGTAAATAAAATTTTCAATTTGTGGGATACTCCCGGTATTTAATTGGGATTTGGGTAACCGTCACTGTTAGAAGTTTTTTTTTTTCCTTATTAATTTTCTGTTGGAATAGTGTTTTTTTTTCTTTGCCAATTCTGTTTGATAGCTTAGTTTGGGACATAAAGCCTGAAATTTCCATTTTACAGGTTAAAATTGACAGCTTGAATGGGAAGAAGCTTGGATTGTATTTCTCAGCATCGTGGTGTGGTCCGTGTCGAAGATTCACTCCCACTTTAGTGGAGGTGTACTCTGAGCTCTCTCCAAAAGGAGATTTTGAAATCATTTTTGTCTCAGGAGATCATGATGAAGAGTCATTCAATGGTTACTTCTCTAAGATGCCGTGGCTTGCAGTCCCTTTTTCTGATTCAGAAACCCGGAACCGCTTGGACAAGTTGTTCAAGGTGATGGGAATACCTCATCTTGTGCTCTTGGGTGAAAATGGTAAAGTCTTGACTGATGAGGGAGTTGGGATCATACGAGAGTATGGAGTGGAAGGGTACCCTTTCAACCCTGAAAAGATCCAAGAATTAAAAGATTTAGAAGAAAAGGCCAAGACGGAACAGTCCATAAGAACTATATTGGTTTCCCGTTCACGTGACTTTGTAGTTACATCTGATGGAAACAAGGTAACCTTTGATGACTCTGCTGATTGTTTGAAATGCTATTGTAGTTTTTCTTGCATTTTTGAATCGGTTTGAATATAGCATTACTTTCATAATCTGTACTTTGTTCTTGATTTGTGTACTAGGTTCCTGTATCTGAACTTGAGGGGAAGACTGTAGGTTTGTATTTCTCAATGTCTTCATTCAAGGCATCTGCTGATTTTACTTCGAAACTTGCTGAAGTTTATAAGAAATTGAAAGAAAAGGGGGAGAATTTTGAGATTGTTGTGATATCACTTGATGATGAAGAAGAATCTTTTAAGGAAAGCTTTGTGGCACCTTGGTTGGCATTGCCCTTCAAAGACAAGAGCTGTGAGAAATTGGCTAGGTATTTTGAGCTCTCGACCCTTCCAACTGTTGTTATTATTGGGCCAGATGGGAAAACTCTCCATTCTAATGTTGCTGAAGCTATCGAAGGACATGGGATTCAGGCCTATCCCTTCTCGCCTGAAAGATTTGCTGAGCTTGCAGAAATAGAGAAAGCAAAAGAGGCAGCACAAACTCTGGAATCAATTTTGATTTCAGGAGATCTGGATTTTGTCATTGGGAAAGATGGGGCTAAGGTATGATTATTAGGCTTCATTAGATGCTTCCAATTCTTCAATAGCCTGTTAACCTTAAATTATGTTTAACCAAAATGATTTAACCTTGTGTTGGTCTGGTGGTTTTTTCAGCGTCCTTTAGCTTTAATTGGATTGTATAGTCATTACACATACACATACCATGCCCCTTCCCCTGTTTTTGATTATTTGTTTAAGCATTTCATGCTCCACATGGGTAGAAGCAATGTTAGGAGCAAATGGTTGCTCAACTCAGCCCGTCTTTGTGATGAGTAATGAATTTATATCCTATTTCAGGTCCAGGTGACCGAATTGGTGGGGAAGACTGTTCTCTTGTACTTCTCAGCACATTGGTGCCCACCATGCCGTGGTTTCACACCAAAACTAGTTGAAGCATACAAGAAGATCAAAGCCAAGAATGAAGCGTTTGAAGTGGTTTTTGTTTCTAGCGACAGGGATCAAGCCTCCTTTGAGGAATATTATTCGGAAATGCCCTGGCTGGCACTTCCATTTGGTGACGCTAGGAAGCCATTATTGAGTCGCAAATTCAAGGTCCGAGGCATCCCTATGCTTGTAGCCATCGGACCAACTGGAAAAACTGTTACAAAAGAGACCAGGAATCTGATCATGGCTCATGGGGCTGATGCTTATCCTTTCACTGAGGAGCGTTTGAAGGAGATTGAGGCACAATATGAGGAGATGGCAAAGAGGTGGCCTGAGAAACTGAAACATGAATTGCACAAGGAGCACGAGCTCGTGCTCACTCGTCGTTCTTATTACAATTGTGATGCATGCGATGAACAAGGACAAGTCTGGTCATTCTACTGTGGAGAATGTGACTTTGATCTGCATCCAAAATGTGCTCTGGAAGAAGATAAAGGAAGCAAAGCTGACGACGAGGAGGAAGGAACTCCAAAAGAGGGCTGGGTCTGTGATGGGGAAGTCTGCACTAGAGCTTGATGAATTTTGTCCTTTTAGTGAGGTGGTTGTATGTTTTCAAATGTGGCAGCAGCAGCAGCAGTCTTAAGTCTATGCTTTGTTTCTTGGTGGGCTTGGAGAAAGAAAATATAAAAATAAAGCCCGCTGATATTGTAGGTATTACATTATATATATATATATATATATATGTATTTATTTCGGGTTGTACCTGCCGATGCAGCTGTGGTCTTATCCCCTACTACATAATCAAAGCTATCCTATGCTTTGTTTCTTGGTGGGCTTGCAGAAAGAAATATAAAAATAAAGCCCTCTGATATTGTAGATATTGTAGATATTATATATATATATATATGTATGTATGTATTTCGGGTTCTACCTGCAGATGCGGCTGTGGTCATATCCCCTACTATATAATCAAAGTTATCTTGCAGTGGCAGTGGTTTGGAAATGTTTAGTGGTCAAGACTCTTTGTCAAAGTTATAAAAATTGACTTTTAATCCTGTGTTGCTGTTAATTGAACAAAATTTATTTGTAATAAATAAATTTTGATCTCAACATCCATCAAACTTTTAAGACTGTAAATATATAATATTTGAATTAACCATAAATTGAATCAAGGGAGGATATGCATGTTATCAAAATTGCGAGTACTATCTTGATCATTGGTTAAACCAGTGGACATGATAATCCCCGGAGGGCAATAGAAGGAACCGTGTGAACGCCTCGGTGCCGACACCTAATCGATTGTCTTGTCCTACTGCAGGAAGCTTCCTTTGTGGTGAATGTTAAAAAGGTACAAGTCCAAAATAGCTTTCCAAGCGCCAGGCGTGTCGCCTTGCCGTATTAGCGTGCATCACGTGTTGTACGTAACTCAGAAAAATCTAAAGAAAAATTCTGAAAAAGTAATCCATTAGAATCCCCCATCGCCCAGCTGCAGAATTTTAAAAGCTGGGTCTTTTTCTCGCCTGGAATGTATATCCTTGTCACCAGATCAGCGCTGTAAGTTGAACCTGTTTTTCTCTGATTCTTTGTCTTAATTTTTAATTGCAAAGGCTTCTGCTTGGATGTTTATTCCTTCTGTTTCTGGGTTTTCGGGTCTCTGCTTTTTATCTTTTGATTGTAACTTTTAATGGGTAATAATTCCTGTATTGAAGGAGAAACTTGAATTTTGCTGCAAACCATGATGTACTGCCAAGAATTTGGCTCAAAGTTGTTCATTTATACTTCAATTTATCCGGTGTTACTTTAGAGACTGGCTTAATTTGATTAATTGTATCAAGGGTTGCCTGTGGGGCTAATTGTTAGTTTAATTTGGTTGTTGGAGTTTTTGATGATTTTACTCCTTCATCAAAGGTTTTTAAGTAAAAACAATTACCTTTAACAGATGTACTTTCAGTTAAGAAACTGATGAAAAGACATGAAAAGATACTGCTGAAATGGAGTAAGCTCAAATTTTCGTTTTTCTGAAAATACACATTTTGGGGCTACAGTAGAAATCGGAGAAATGTCAATAACGTTCCTGGTCTGCCCTGCACATCAAATCAAAATATGATTTCTTCCTCAGGTTCTACTCGCATGGCTTGAGGTTACGGATAGAATAGATAATTCGAATGATTTAGATACTGAAAAGTGCATGTGGTTTGTTTAGCAGACCATTTTAACTAAGGGTTTGTTTTAGCTTATCTTGGGTACATAGCATGACAAACTTATCTGGTAACCTAAACAGATAAACTTATGCTCTGTGTTATTTCATTTCTCTTGTACTTTCAAGGTTATACAGGTTTTGGTGGTTAATACACTTTGCATCTAACCTAAGTGCTATAATAGTTACTAAACTATTTTGCCACCAGGCAAAGATGCCTTCTCTGCTATATGTAACACATCTGAGCTGCCTAAAAAGTTGGAAATTTTCATGGGATGTCAACCTCTTACTGATATAGCATTCTTACCAAAGCAATGATAAAGAACACATTTTTTTTTTAATTGAGAGAAAGGGGATTCGAATCCTACTCTTTGGACAGGGGATCATGCATCAACCAATGAGCCAAATGCTCGGATGCCAAAGAGCACATCTTTTGTTTAGTAGTAGATTATCATTTGTATTCATGTTTATATTAACAGGTGAGATGGAAGGGAACAAAATCAGCATAGATATTTCCAGAAGTGATAGAAATGGAAAACCCAAGGTGCTTGATCCAGCATTTTCTGCAATTTTTGTTCAGCTTCCTCACAAACTTCGAAATTGCCTTAAGGTTAGTTATGGCTTTGTAGAGGGGAATTCATTCAATGGAGGGCCATGTTGTGAAAGGGTTTTGTATATTAGAATTTGAATGACAAATCATGGTTTTTTGTCACAGTCACAGCTCAAGAGATTAGCAAAAGATAATGACAGAATAAAAGCAGTGAACTCTTTTCTTGGGAAGGAGAAAAGTTCATCTACTGGATTGGGGGTTGATTTGGAGAAACAATTGCAAGCTTGGAGAGAAAATCCTTCATGGGTCGATCAACCTGCAGAAATAAAGGTAAGGAAGAGTTCATCAGAAATTTTGTCGTTTCATTCTCAAGAGTGATGCTAGTTTCACTCATCATCTTGAACATGGTGTCTCTCATAGAATATGGTTGTTAACCATTTATCAGTCAAGAACAGGACATTTTCACCATGCTATTTCATTGATTTGGGCAACATTGAAGATAATCTTGATTTCTAATTTTTAAGAAAATTATAATTCCAATGCTTGCACTACTTTGCTGTTATCTTACATTCTTGATGGCTTCATTGGATATATTATCCTAAAGGATCCATCAAATTGCAAACTATTAGGAATCTAATGTTATTCTTGGCAGGTCAGTGTACCAAAAGGTTCTCTTTGCAACCTTAAGGCAAAAGTTGATGTTGGGTTGCCCCCAGATGCAGTATATAATATTGTAACTGATCCTGATAACAAGAGAGTTTTCAAGAATATTAAGGTGAGTGGTACATTCCACCTGCAATAGTAGATGCATGTGAAGTTTTCCATCACGGTACCATTCTGTGGCATGACATTCCTTGCTTCAATGTTTCAAGCAGTTTCAGAAATTTCAAATTGTTACTCAACAAGTGATCTTCTGTTTCAGGAAGTCATATCTAGAGAGGTTTTAGTTGATGAAGGTCAAAGACAGGTGGTTGAAGTGGAGCAAGCAGCTTTGTGGAGATTCCTTTGGTGGTCAGGGACCATCTCAGTTCATGTTCTAGTGGATCAAAATAGAGATGATTACTCGGTAAAATGTCTCTTTTTTTCAGTTATTTGATTTTAAAATCCATGAGGGAGTGTTCTTCTATAAGAAGTAGGACTTAGGTTTTTGTGGTGCTGAGTTACATGAAACAATATCAACGCTAAATGTTCTGTTGTGGTTGCATTTTTAAAGTTTCAGAACATGACTTATTTGATTTGATTCTCCACTTAGCCAAGCATTTAATTGCTTTTGGTTGAAGTTCCTCTGTTCAGAGTACTCAATTCATAAGTTGTTTGCAAAAAGATCGTGCATGGGTTATTAGCAGTTACTCTTAAGTCTAATGATGACTGTTAACAGATGAAGTTCAAACAAGTCAAAACGGGATTCATGAAAAAATTTGAAGGTCACTGGAGAGTAGAACCTGTTTTTGTGGATGAAGAAACCTGCTTCCCTTTCAAACCTAAAACATGGGCAGAGTACTGTTCATGTACTGCTGGTAAAGGAAGGGTTGGGTCAAAGGTGAGCTTGGACCAACTAATTCAGCCAGCCATTATCCCTCCCCCACCCATCTCTTGGTATCTAAGAGGAATAACTGCCAAGACGACGGAGATGCTGATACATGATCTACTTGCTGAAGCTGACAGACTCAAGGGTGGCTTTGACTCTGGAAATTCAGACAAGGAGCTTAGATTATCCAAGAAAATAAATGAACATCAGCAAGTTGAGCAGATATGTGACATTAAAGAAAGATGGAACTCACGTAGGAGAAATGCAAAGCAGCATCGTAAGAAGCTATTGGCTGCTGAGTCATCTATTTTCTGAGTGGTTCAAATTCATCTGTAATGTGTTGCATCAGTATTTTATATGGAAAATTGCCCAACAACATTAGTAGCGGTGTTTCCATTTTAACTCTTGAAAGATCCATCTGTTACTTCAAAACATTTGTATGACTTATGTAATTCCAGTTTAGTGTTAGTAAAGCACGTTTGATCAATGAGAACAAGAGGACTGGCATCTTCGAACTAAATTGTTATGTTTGGATCTGAGCAGTCTTCTACTATCTCTTTTCTTCCTCTAGCGCTTCCAAGTAATTATGGTAAGTCTCTTGTGCAAGTTGTAATAATTTTGTAGTTATTAGGGTTTGGACATAGCTGCTCCTGAGGAATTCCCATGGCATGAAGTAGCAATTCAATGGAACCCACTTAGTCGCACATTCCTGATAAACTGACTAAACCATTTACTATATCATGAAGTCAATTGAACTGGAAGCATAAGCAATAAATTATGTTGGACAACAAATCCTCCAAGATCATCTAGCATGATGGAAGTCTTACCAGAACTGAAATGGAATGTGTACATCCAGGTGAAAAGTAAATCCATATTCAGAAGCAACTAAATGATTTTATTAGACGAAAAAGTTACATATATGGTACATGTAATCTACGGGCTGATGTAACACAATCTTGTCTAATTGTGAATTATGTAACTCTCTTTATTGTTCTCCATATCGCTTTCCATTTAAATTATTTGCCCTGCAATGGTATCAACTATGTTACAAAGGTTCTGCAAGCTTAAATTTTTTGACTTGCATGGGTGCCTATAGTCTCCACAAGAATCACTTGGTCCACTATGCTGTGTCTAATGCTAAGTTCCGTATACACTACACTGAATACTATCATCATTCAGATTCCAGTCACTATTTAGTGAGCAATAAATCTTATCCCCAGCAGAGGATACGCTGATAGGGAACCTTTGCATTATTTTATGGACCATCAAGCCATCAAGACTTTGCTTCTCATAGCTCATGAATGCACCCAGGGCCCCAAGAAAACCTTCATGCCTCAAAAACATTGCTTTAGCCTCACCTTTGGACCTGTAGCGTGCATTCCAGGGAAGGGCAAGATCAATTAATTGAAAGTCATGGAGGATAGATAAACATTACAATGTGGTGACTTTTAGGCAGCTGGACCTGAAGTCCACAGATAGAATTATGCAGCAAGTAGCAAGAGAAATAAGCTGGCCAGCTCAAGAACTTATTTCACGTTTTAGTCCCACTTTTTATAACAAATTATTGAATGTAATTTCATGCAGAGGATCATTGTTAGGATCAAGGAAGTAACTTTTTTTCCTTCTTTTTGTCATTGTAACAACTAACTTTCCAAGATAAGTTTTCGAATTTTAATTTTCAGTAAAGATTCGAATTAAAGGATGAATTGAACTTGACAAAATGCAATCATTCAGCAATCAGAACCAACATATAAATGCGCTATGATGAGTGCAAATGAAGAACTAACACCCTAATAGTTACCAGAAATGAACAGCAACCGAAATGGTGTCCATGGTATAGGCATGACCCCGAATGAAAAATCCGGCAAAAAATATCCGCTTAAGCCCAAATCGAAGTGCATTCAAGTAAGAGATCTGGGCAAAAAAAAAAAAAAGAAAGAAAGTGAGGCCAACGGATCAACTATTAGTATTAATTATAAGCCACAAGATCTCTTTTGCTTTAATTTACTTAAAACATAATTCATATAAGATACTAACATCAGAGAAATCAGGTAAACAAAGTTTCAATGCAACAAAGAAAATATAATCCTGAGGACATAAAAGCTAGTCCAGACAAAAAATGTCCACAAATGGATACCTAGAAGATTAATTGTACCGATGAATAAAGTAAATTGACAAAGCATAACCATATAAATCAATTAGGCGAAACAAGAGTCTAGAATTCTGATCCCAAGAAAGTTGCTAATACTTGGAAAGATAGTACAAACCAGGTTGTAAAAGAAAGAAAAGGGCTACTGACTGACAAAGCATAAGAAGCAATCTCTATCAACATAGAGGCCAAAAGCCCCAATACAATGCCAGGTTGATCCAAGTTTTCCATTTACTAAGCAAGCATTCAAGGTTATCAACGATTCATGCTGAACATCTGATTTACCATATGCCAGAAAACTATCATATAGCAACTAACCTGACCAATATTATTTGAAATCATTCGTAAAAGGGAGCGGGAGATGTCTTCAGGTTTGTATTCTTCCAGCTCTTTATTATCGGAAATGGCCTTGCCAAAACTGGAAGCAATAGTTGTTGCAGAGAGACCAACCTGTCATTATAAAAACAGTTGTGATGCAGTTTATTGTTACTTGTCAGAAAATCAAATACAGAAATTTGCAGACTTTTGTTATGTCAAATCAAATTAAGGTCCGGTTATAAGAACTCCAAGATACATACATCAATATGGAGAAAGTGAAGTTCTCGTAATCAAAGTTAGGATAAAGACATCTCTGTACCTTTGCATAATCTGTTCCACCATAGATATCACCAACAAGCATATCTATAACTCTATTATTTCCCTGATGACTTAGCTCCAGCAACTCATCAAAACTGAGACAGAAGACACATTGGTTTACGTACAATGAAACACTATATTATAGGCTACAGATTAGAATAGGTAATCAGAAAAACATAATTACTTCTTGCACTTTGTCAAAAGCCTTCCCAAACCCCAAAAGGTGCCACCTCCAAGGTTAGTTCCACTAACTCGCTCAAACTTACCATCTCCATCCACCTATATACCCAAAAGACTGACAATCAATTATAATTATTCAAAGCCTTAGATATTACCAAAGTAAGAGAAGAATACCTTTATCATGCTAACACCAGATCCGATGTTAACAAGAAGATAAGGATACAAATCATTATGATCAATCTGAACAAATTCCTTCTGACCATCCAAGTATGTAAAAGCTTCTTGGTGGACTGCCTACTCAAAGAACAATCAGAATGCCAGTAGATAGTGAGTAGTCAACCAAAAAAAAACAGAAGCTACACACTAACCCCTGCATAACATGCGACAAATATGTAAAATTTTTTATCAGCAGCCATGCATATTTTGTATTGGTAAGTATATTCTTCCTCCCTAGAAGAGAAATATAACTACAGGTAAGTTCAAGCTAACTTTCAGAGAATATCATGACTATGAGTAATAAAATAAATACCAAAAATTTCTGGGTACAAAAAACACTCCGTTTTGTTTTCACAAATGGTGAGATGAGTCCATTCTGTAAATTTAGAGATCTAAGAAGAAAAGGAAAGAAGAAACTTCAAAGTCATTTCAGAATATAACTCGCCAAGACTCCACAAAGAGTCAGACCTCATTACAAAACCAACTAGAATAGTCTCATAGCTCTCTATATATTTAAAAAGAGAGGAAGATAATAAAAGACCTCTTCCATCAAATAGACAATGGAAAACCTGATGCTTTCTCCAAAATTTGCAATAGCAATCTGGAACAGAAAATTGAATGGAATGTATGCCATGCAATGAAATTTTTAACAGCTACCACTGCTCATTTTGTATCTTGATTTCTTAAACTCAGTTCAGATATCCACTTTGATGCCCTATGTTTCAGAATATTTGCTGGAAACAGCCATCAGATTTCCACTAGGGAAAAAAATTTAAAGCTTGCTCTTTGTCAGTTATTTATATTGCATAATTTGCAGCTCTTGTTCTCATTAGTTTAGGGTTTTAACTTTTCTAATTTTGAAATGATGTATTTCCTATCATCTTACAGGTGCAGAAGTACCGATATCTATCCATTGTTTCACTCACACATAAGCTGCCATAGATCAGATTTTTAATAGTTTACCAGTTAGACATGCTGTTGAATGTGATAAATTATCTAAGGGCATGGCTCATAATGTTCAAATTCTACGTTTCCATCATAAGATCTTCTGTGTCATTGAACATATCATAATCAGGACAGGAAGCCAAAATGAATTCAAATATATGTAACAATCATACATAAATTTCCACAAAGAGAAAAGAAGGGGAAAAGGGAAAAAGCGTGAGCACACGCACATATTCCTCAGGACAACAGAAAAGATTGGCTTCAAGATAGTTGGAGGGAAAAGACTACTTATCTTACAAGAAGAATTAAGAATGACTCCAATTTGTACATACCAACATACATTTATTCAGTATTAGAATCCCACCTTAAGCAAAAAATTTGCACCAGTCACAAGGCAGTTCATCTCATCTTCTTTGTCAAGACTAATTTCAAGCTTTTCTTTGAAAAGGTCGGCAAACTTGTAAGCACCGCCTCCTGTTGCCTGCAAACAGGTATTAGCTATATAAGATATCTTTATACTGCAAAACATCCTACAAAATATGACTGAAAAAGCAGTGAGAGAGGTAATTGCTCACAAAAGTAAATAGTTATAGCATTGAAACAAGCAGTCATAAATAGAAAAGAAGAGAAAAAAAAAAGGAATAGAACATCGGCTATAAAATTAGTTACTTTAGTTTATCCATTAATAAGAATGGCTAGCTCCTATCTAGTTTCTAAAAATAATTAAAATTATTTCAAAACCATAAAATACTAATGTACAACAACAAATCTTACCTTAATAAAGATTTTGTCACTGGAAGCAGCAGCGTGATCACGGAAACCTGAATTCTCGTTCATTAATAAGAAAATAAGCTGAAGCACTGTCAGAATAAAATAAACTTCTAAAGCATATTCAAGAATAATGACCTCAAATAAGCAATGGCAACCATGGCTAATCGGGCCAGATGCCTTTCCTAAGTACCAACCACTAAGAACAAATAATTTCCAGTAACATAATGATCTTTTATTAATAAAAAAAAAGGATAGGATTTTACGCCCAAATCACTTGATCCTAACACACAAGTAGGAATATCATGGAAATATAAAATGCAACGTTTCTTAGAAAAGAAATATGATTTCAAAATTCACATCAGAACTAAGGGAAGAAAAGCCAGTGCACCTTTTTGTCAGAAGTAATATATTGCCAGTCAGGTCTATTTGCTCTAGAACCCTTAAGCAAATCAAAATGCTTACCAGTGATAGGGATGGATGTTGTGAGTCTAATCACCAACCATCTTTTGCATTTTGTAGTTAACTACATGTAGTAGCCAATAAAAAAGGAGATCCTAGGACTTATCTAAACGGTGCATAATGCTAAAATATCAACTAGGCAAGGCTCATGAACGATCCAAAGCTTGACCAAATATAT